TGTACCGGTCAGTGCACTATGTACCGGTCAGTGCTCTGTGTACTGGTCAGTGCTCTGTGTACCGGTCAGTGCGCTATGTACCAGTCAGTGCGCTGTGTACTGGTCAGTGCTCTGTGTACCGGTCAGTGCACTGTGTACCGGTCAGTGCTCTATGTACCAATCAGTGATCTGTGTACCGGTCAGTGTGCTGTGTACCAGTCAGTGTGCTGTATTCCAGACAGCAAGCTGTGTACCAGTCAGTGTACTGTATATCGATCAATGCTACGTGTACCGGTCAGTGTGTTACAGCACGTACCGGTCAGTGTGTTACAGCACGTACCGGTCAGTGTGTTACACTGTGTACCGGTCAGTGTGTTACAGCATGTACCGGTCAGTGTGTTACAGCACGTACCGGTCAGTGTGTTACACTGTGTACCGGTCAGTGTGTTACAGCACGTACCGGTCAGTGTGTTACACTGTGTACCGGTCAGTGTGTTACAGCACGTACCGGTCAGTGTGTTACACTGTGTACCGATTTGTGTGATGTATTTGAACTCGTGATGTTAGCCTAGACTATTAGATTGCATGTCTGAAGGAGCTATTAGTAGCTTCCTTGAGATAGCACTGTTCTCAACCTCACAATTCTGAATTCTGTTTGCAGCTACTGGTCTGTGAAAGAAATTTGCCTGCCAATTTATGCCAACTAAATTCCACAAACAGCAACATAATCACCCCGCTACTCCACTTTTTCCTGTTGTTTCCTGCCAAGGATCAGCAGCGATCTAAGGGATTACTGGAAGCAGATGAGATGAAAACAGTAACAATCAGAGTCATACTGGAATAGAGTGTAAATAAAATCAAGTATGACTGAAACTATCCCTCATCTCTCCTACAGTTAACGTGACTCCAGCCTGGACCCAGGGCTCTGCCGTCCGAGGGAGATCATTGTCCCTCAATCATAGTTTTCGCCTGAAAGTGGAGAAGTTGGAGATGGTAAGTTAATGATTATTAGGCCTGTTTGGACGTTAGGCGTGTTATGCTTGTGCTGTTTTTTTGAAGGAACTAGTCAAGTTAGTCGCAAACCGTAGTCTTCTTCCCATAATCTTGCAAATTAATCCTGTTCAATCACATGTCCTTTGGCAGCTTCCAGCAGAATCTGATTATGAGTCCATGATCTTATCAAACCTTCATTTGAAGACATCTTTCCTCTAGTTCCTTTTGCAGTGAATTTCAATCTCTGACCTGTTGTTACCAATTGAATGATCAGAGGAAATGTTTTATTCCTCCCAGCTGGATCACAATCCTTTTAATTTTCATTACATGGATTAAATCTCCTCTTAAACTTTCTCTGCCAAATGTTAGCCTCGTCATGCTCTCCACAGAACCCAAGTGTTTTGTTCCTGGTACCATTCTGGTGAGCCTTCTCTGCACCTCCTTTAAAATCCTGACATTCGTCCTAAACTGTGGTGCCCAGAATTGAACGCACTACTCCTCATTTTTATAATCAATGGCGCTATTTACAAAGTCAGGTATCTTATGCACCTTTGTAACCACTTCACATATCTGAACCGTTGATTTAAGAGGTCCTGTGATAGAGTGCTAATATCCCTACCTCTGGGCCAGGAGATCAGGATCAGGATCAGGTTCCAGCTGCCACAGAGGCATTTCCAAACAGATTAATCAGAAACACTTGATTGTCTAACTACCATCACACCTATCAGACAGCAGTATTTACATTGTACTGTGTCTCGATGGTGTAACTCCCAAGGAATAGCACTTGATAAATCACAGCTGGTGCATACAACAAGTGTTCAGATACATTGGATTTTGTGCTTATATTGTTCCTCTCTGGTTTAAAGCGTTTAAAAGCACATGAGCATTTTACGGTCCTCTCCTCAGATGCTTCCAGTTAGGGAGATCATAGACTACATTCAGATGAAGAGAGGAAGTCAGAGGCAGTTCTTCCTCCTTCATTGGTCTACCAGAAGGTTCTGTGCTGAACTTTTCTCTGTCAGCTCATCACCTTTGTTTCCACTGACTGTTTTTTATTGTCAAGACTAAGGAGTCAAAAGGTCCAAACATATTTATTCATTTAAACCCATTCTACACATTATTATTATCTGCAGCATAACAAAGGTCTTAACAATTAGGGTGCTAGTATGATGCCTGTGCAACACCACTAGTCAGAGACCTCCAGTCAGAAAAACACCCCTCCACTGCTACTCTCTGTCTTCTATGACTAAGCCAGTTCTGTATCCATCTTACCAGCTTACTGTTGATCCCATGTGACTTTACCTTTTATATCAGCCTGCCATAAGGGACCTTGTCAAAGGCCTTGCTATAGTCCAGATAGACAACATCTACCCCATTACCCACATCATTCATCTTTGTCACCTCTTCGAAAACTCAATCAAGTTTGTAAGACACAACCTCCCCCACAAAAAGCCATGCTGCCTATCAGTAACAAATTCATATTTTTCCAAATTTGAGTAAATCCTATTCCTAAGAATCTTCTCCAATAATTTCCCTACCATTGATGTAATGATCACTGGCATGTAATTTCCCAAATTATCCCTGTTGCCCTTTTTAAACAAGGGAACAACATTAGTTATTCTCCAGTCCTATGGGACCTGACCTCTGACTAAAAAGGATACGAAGATTTTGTACAAGGCGTTACAATTTCCTCACTTGCCTTCCTCATATTCTGGGATAGATCCAACAGGTTCAGGGGATTTGTCTACCTTACTGCTTTTCAAAACACCCAACACCTCCTTTATTTATATTGTGGAGGTGGCGGTGTTGGACTGGGGTGGACAAGGTCAGAACTCACACAACACCAGGTTAGTGCAACAGGTTTATTTGAAATCACGAGCTTATGGAGCCTTGCTCCGTCTTCAGGTATTAGTGAGAGAGGTATTATCAGACAGGTAATTGATAAGTATAAGATCAAAGGGTCACACAATTGATGAGAATATAACCTAAGATGCTGTTAAGCCTTTAATCAGTTAGAAGATTTTAATTGATTTATATGTATATGTACATCCCTGAATTCCTTTCAAGTCAGTGTCCTGAGAGAACTAAAGGCTTTATCAATGTAAGGAAGAGGTGACATTTTAGGTCAGACGATGCATATTAGGTGTATGTGCGTGCGTGAGTGTGCGTGAGTGTGCGTGTGTGTGTGTGTGGCTGTGTGTGTGTGTGTGTGTGTGTGTGTGTG